GAACTGCGATTTACGGCAAAAAACTTACTATTGATTGTACTTTTGACCTATGTAATTGAAATCAATTCTGGAGAAAGTCGATTGAGCAGCTCCTACAGTACTTGGCCGTCGTTTATCTGCAATGGCTCTTAGAGTGTAAAGATGAAGAAAAGTGGTTTGCTTTTATCAATGGTATAAGATGTGATTCAGTCAGCAAGTATTTTTCTTTTTTTAGTGTAGATCTAATATGTCTAAACTATGAAACACTTTTATCTTTCAAAAAAATTAGATAAAGAACTATAACGTACATGTGTGACGTAAGACTGTGAACTTAATAGAAATAATAATGAGAATAATCGGATAAGCATAATTTATTACTAGAATGAAACGTTATAATATGTAATCTTTTTGTTGCGCTTGTTCGACACAGTCAAACTTAAAATTTTTTTAATATAGATAATGCTAACCAGCACCTACAATCTTTTTTAATACAGAAAACCAAAACAAAGGTATGATAATGACCTACATAGTTACACATTATTATTTACTCAGTATGATCATCAACTAACGGCATGATCATACACAAGGACAAAACTCAAAGTAGTCGTTCCTTTTTCGGTGAGTCCATCCTCTCTTCGTATGTCAGAAATTATTTCTGTAGCCGATCTAGACAAAATTTTAAGGATATGCAATCCAATCAACGGTAAAACGTTGATAAAATGGAGTAAAAGTTAGAAGTTCTATTGCTTAAAACATTAAAACAGTTTTCAAAGGAATCAAAAATTTAAAGTTCAAGCAAGGTTTATTTATACATTGTTGGATAGAGCACAGTGAGTTGAGTAAGAAAAGGTGGTTCTTGAATTTTTTGAAACAAGTTTTAAGCAAGAAAAACTGTGAAGACTTCGAGAGAACTAAAATTTCGAAAAATCCTTCAGTTTCAAAGAAAATGCATATTCTTTTCGTTTTCCTTGTTCTAACTTTTCGAAAGTATTTTTATCAGATTCAACATTAAAAATTGAGTATGAGAAGGATGCTTGATTGAGGTTGGAGTTAAAATTCTATCCAGTACAGACGTCTTGGACTCCCTCGGTGAAAAGTACAATGGGCGTGATACATTAAAAGTCGGTCTAGGCCAACTTCTCCACTATTAGTGCAATTTTTCTCATTTTTGGTTCCAAAGGATTTTTCGATATCCTCTTTCTTTTGTCTATCGAAAGGTTTTTTCCAAAACGCTTGAAAGTAGTTCCAGAAAACCATGATTTTTTACCTATAGGTTCCGAATAAAATTACTTTTAAAAAAAACTGTGCATCAAAACCGATTTTTAAATGTGATATTCGTATTCAGCATTGAAAGGTGAACATTTTAAAAAATTGAGTCTCCAACTCAAAATTTGAATTTTTAAATTATAAATTTTCAACTTTTTTTAAATTAAAAATATCCCAGCTCGGCAAGATGGTAGAATGTTGATTCAAACGGCATTGGGTAGGGAACTGAAAACTGAATAAACATAGATATTTATCAAAGTTCCAGTACCGGATGAGGAGTTTTGTAAAAACCCTATTTGAAATTTCACTTTAGTTTTTAAATTTTTTCAGTGTACATCTTTGAATTATTTAATAAATTACAATGAATAGAGTTGAAGTCAATGAGACTATTTTTGAGGATTTGGTCGCTATAGCGTAAGGATTTTATTTCATATATATTTGCACTCTAAGGTCACAATCATCTGCAGTAGAAGAAAGAGAAGAAAAAAGAGAATAGCAGTATGTCTGTCTGTTCTTCTCTTTCTGCTAATGCAAATCATTGCGACCTTATAGCATAAGTATACATCAGATAAAATTACAGAGATTTTTACCAAAAAATGAAACTCAACAAAAAGTTTCGAAATATATATCATGAATCACAATATACCTTTGACTCCAACCTCCATCAAGCATCATCCTCATACTTCAGTTCTCCATCCTGAAGCTGATAAAAATAAATTGTTGACGAATCAATGGGTAGTCGCAGTGTTTGTGGACCGGAATAATGTCTCTTATCAGGTTCAACCAACCACAGACTTAGAAAAGTTTTATTATAAATTAAATATCTTTTTAATTTTTGTCAAAAAAGTAAAATTAAAATCAAATGATATTTTTCGTGCATACCCTTTCTACATTTAACGGTCGTAGTTTTCTTTCTCATTTGATCGTAGTATCGAAATATTTCCCATCTAAAGCTGTAGCCTTTAGATGTGGTATTTAGTAGAGGTGTTACTTTAATTTTATTGTTCATTTAAGATGTTCGGAAAGCAGACTTCGAGTGAAATTTATTTTTCAACGTTTTACACACCATTCGATAGCGAATCGTGCGCTGATCACGAACATGTGTGTCTCGCTTTTTTTTTGGAGACTTTTTACCGGTTCGAAAATTCGGAAAGAAAACTCGGAAGTTCTCAAAAACCCTAAAACCGCAAGGTTTCAAAAAATGGCCGTAACTTCTTCGCGTATTAGTTTCAAAACTTGAGACAAAGTTTTTCAGATTCGGAAACGAAAACTAAATAATGAATAATTGTAAATGAATCATTTATACCTAAAAGATAAAGATAAATTCGTCATTTATATTTAAAAAATAAACATAACTAAATGATAAAAAAGTTTATCTTTATTTTATAAAGTAAATGATTCATTTATATTTATTTATAAATGAATCATTCTACGAAAATCAAAAACATTTCTCCCACTGTTCTTTTTTGCTTAGTTTGATAGAGGACACTCGATTGCATAAGGCTTCGTGCAGGTCAAGTTTATAGAAGTCTTTTTTACCGGTAGAAATATAACGATAAAACTCACCGGAAAAGAAAGCAAAAAAATGATGTAATTCCGTCACGGAGCCATTTCGCTTGTTTCTTTTCATTTAAGCATTTTTGAGTGAAAGTAAAGAGATGATTCGAAAGCTCTTTTCATGCTCTACAACTTTTATATTAGACTTTTTTTCTGAATATGTTTCGTTTTAGAGCATTTTTCAAAGTTTGTAGAGCACTAGATAAAAAAGGCTAAAAAATGTAATTCCGTCACGACACCTATTTTGCTCATAAAAATCATTCTACTTAACCGCCTTATTCGAAAGTTTTACCACAAACCAAGCATTCTATCGCACATCTCTGATAAAAATTTCGTCATCTTTTGTTCGGTATTTGAGGAGAAACAGAGCCCAAAAGTTGAAAATGTAATTCCATCACGCGCGTTTAAGCCGAGTGCAAACTCCGACGAGTCTCTATAACCTGGAAAAAACCGAAGTTTCTTGACTTTCTTGCGTTTCTTATATAGACTGCCAACCGCAAAACAAAAAGGTGATTGCGTCAAAACGACTCACAAACTTTAGTTGCATGAAAAAGTGTAATCAGTCTTAGATATGTGGGACTCAAATTCAATGGATATCAAGCTCGGAGATGGTCAAAAAATACTAAAAACTTATTTAAAACAGTCAGATCTCTCGGACAAACACGAGAAATCGATGATGGCGCTATTGAGTACCTTAAAATAGTGACATACGATAGCGCCATCAGGGTCTTTTCTAATTACGGACTAATTGTCTGTAAACTTTGATCACTTCAAATGGAATATATCATAATTTCGGCTTATAATTGAAATTTTCATCCAATTAATCTGAGTCTCACATATTAAAAAAGAGATGGCATTTATTTGCTTTCGATTGTATGAGTCATCAATTGTCAGGCCGCACACTAGTATTCTTCGCATATTGTATTAATTTCCCACCGGTAATTAATATTATTGACAACGTTGGTGAATTAAATATAACATATTGTTTCCAGGTTACAAAAATTAACCTGTAATCTTTTCTTTCGAAATTTGTTCATAATTTTAAATTCTTACTTTGGCTAAACATCTGGTTTTAAGTTTTTCCTTTTTTTTTTATAAAGAAAAAGAGAAAAAAAGCGTAAATCGAAAATAAAATAAAGTTAACTTAAATATACTTCACTTAATTGATGGAAGTTAGTCAAACCGTTGTGGAAGTTGGGATGTCTGCCGAATGACGCTTACAACTTGGTGCCGTGATCCGATAATATCTATTCGTATCCTGCTTCGGTACTTCCACAACGAACAACAAGTTCATTTTCATTATTCTCATTGAGTTTAGTTTATCACTATTCGTTATTTTCCATTATAAATTTCTTCGTAGATATTTGACAGGATCGATAAAACACTTATCTACAGTTTGTTTTGCGAGTAGAAATATCTTTTGTTATTTGTTTATACAATTACGTGCCACATATATTGATGTTGAGATCAAAAGTCCTTTGTCTTGTATTCTTTATATATCATAACACAGCAGAAAGCGATCTCTCGCTCGGACAAGTTAAAACATGATGTTGGCCGATTTTTTCTCTCTCTCCAACTCGATTAATGTCAGTCAAGATACGAATTTATCAGAGTGTATCACAAACGTTTTCAACAAGTAAGCAAAGATATTGTAAACCAGAGATCGGGCCGGGCTTGAGCCACAAAGTATTTTGGTCGAGTCTGGTCGGGCGGAATTTAGAATTTTTAAGCATGGGTGGATTTATAACTTAAGTGTATAATCAGACCGAGAAATCATAAAAATATAAATATCAGCTTGAGAAATATATTTACACAGCTTAGCCTGCAAACATATTACAGATATAAGAAGAAAATCATGTAAAGTGGTCTGGTCGGGCCGGGCCAGATAAATTCTACGTTTAGTCGAGCCGGTCTTGGTCCGAAAACTTTCATCATCTGGCCGGGCCAAAAATTGCGGATCTCTGTTGTAAACCACAATGATGTAATATCAAACACACGAGAAACGTATACATCAAATAATAGCGAAAATAACCAACAGCAACAAAAGAAGGAAGACGATAGAGAAAAAGTATATGTATGATTTTTGCGTTATATGGTAATAGGATTGTGGTGTACAATTGATGATAAATGAATTCGAGAATTATTTTTAAGTCATTTAAAATAAATTAAAAGAATAAATAACAAGTCTATAGACTTTTCTATACTGTTCTTAATTTAACAATTAGTTGTGTACTATTAGAAAACGCTTCTGAATAATTTTGAATTTCCACATGATATTTAATCCAATAATTTGTTTGGAACGTTGATAACAAATCATTTTTATTTATATATTGAGACTCAAGTCTAACACTTAAGTAAAAACTATTTACTTTTGGTAAATCATTTATAAATAATTGTTCCCATTCTTTACCATTAGCATATGATAAATCATAAACTTTCAATGAAATTTTTTTTAAATTTGGTAATTTAAGTAAAAAAAATGATTTTGTATGTTCAAATGATAGACCAGAACAATTAAATAAATTTAATTCAACTAAATCTGTCATTATTGGTAATATCATTTTTGTCGCTATTATTGATGATTGATTATTCCATAAACCAATTGTAATGGATCTTAAATGAGGTAACAATGGTATGAGATGAATAAAATCCGTTTTATGAATTAAGGAAATATTTAAATGTTGAATATTTGATGGTGTTTTTGTACTTACAATAGAATGTATTATCCATCGACAATTATAGAATTTTAAATATTTTAATGTATATAATAATGAATCACTAAATATAATTTTTAATATATGCTTAACAATACCATTATATATTGATCGATGAAAACCAATAGTTAATGTTGATAAACGTTTTAAACATTGTAATTTATCAATTGTATATTTAATATCATTTACTTGTAAATCATTTAATGTTAATGAATATAAATTAATAAAATTTTCTAAAGAATATTGTGATAAAACAGATATAATTTGATTATTTGTATGACTATTGGATAATTTTAATGATCGAATACTAGGTAAATAAATTTTTGGTAAAATATGTTGTTCATTATATTTTGATGATAAATTCAAATGAATATATGATTGACGTATAATTTCATTTAGATGAAAATTTAAATCATAAAATGTTTGACATATTTCATGAATATCAAAATAATCAAATAATTCTTGATATAATTCTGATGAAAAAGAAGATTCTAACGTTGTAATTGTGACGGTTTGCATAATGCTAAAGAATATAAAAGAGATATGATTAGATGATGTAAACAATGTTGTGTGTTAGATAAAAAATATCTTATATTTTATAGAGAAAAGGAGTCTTTATTTCTTAAAAATAACTTTAGCTTCTTTATAAACGATATCTTAGAGTTTTACATAACATACAAAATTTTCTTGAACTCGATATCTATGTTATGAGTACATATTTTAAAGCGTGTTTAGTATAAATAAGTTCAATAAAGGCGACTATGACTTTCATGGTAATTTTTGACCCCAGAACGGGATATATGTAGATTTGTGCAGGAAGATTTCCTCTATCTAGTGGTATATATATTATCAAATTCTGTTGCGTACCGTGAGAGAAAATTAAAGTTAACCCCTCTCTTTTTACACTTTTTTTGGAAATATTTTTTAATTTTGAGTTAAATATTGTACATTATAGAGTAAAGTGTCCTCTACAAAACAAGACCACTTCC